GGGGTTCCCCGCTAAAGCCACAAACATAATATTTTTACAAAATACTGAACCAAACTTTATTTGTATACCCGCTCAAAATATCCCCTTTTTAGTGTGTTGTTGGTCGGCCGGCCCTCTCCGGAACTTGTCCCCTTACAACAACATAGATCTTACGTCTCCAACCTCAGAACAGTTCTTAGTAGCTCACAAAAAGTTGATTGTTTTTCATTGAACACAGTGGAAAGTGGTATCAAATTTCGTAATAATACACTACAAATAAAATGGCAAAGCAGTGCTTGGTATGATATTTTTAAATAAATCTAAATAAATGAAACAAAACAAGAGATACTAACCCATGTTTCAAACCACGGAGCTTTCCGATGAGCGAGCAAAGTCTTCTTGAAACCCCATACTTCAAAATACAAAATACTTTGTCTTCTTCTTCAAGGTTTAAGCTCAAGTAATAATAATTGACTTTTTGTAGTGAAGTCGAACGTTCATTTACGATGCTAGTTTCTGTACCGCAAATCTGATCCATGCCATGTTGTTGTTTTTTTACAAACTGTGTTCACAGAAAGTGCAGAATAGTGCACATTTTAAAGGAAATCACAAACAGGTTATACAAAAGCCTCAACACAAGGACTTTATATTTTTGTGGTTTCTTCATCCAGCCTCTTGCAGGTTTAATGGTTTCATTTTGCCCATACCGTCAGTGTCTCAAGCTATCCATTTGAATACTTTTTATACCAGAGACAAAAGGCTAGATTTTGTTGTTCTGTTCCTATAAAAATAATGAAAAGCCAGAAACTCATAAGCCTTAACCATAATATCATTAAACTGCATTTTTGCTATGTTGAAATGTGATGCTTTAGAAAAGCAGTAAACAAGACCAGACGTTAGAAAGACAGTAGTCAGAGAAAGGGTGGGCACAATTGATGTAATGCATCACATCCAGCACCAAAGAATCAAATGGTTCTGACATCTCATGCGATTACCAACACACACCCCAGCACAACGTGCCCACATAAAAAATTCGATGGTAACAAGGCTAGAGGACAACTGAGAAAGATCTGGATAGATGGAGTCAGGGAAACATTAACAACACACGGCATCCCCCCTGACCCAAACTCTCCGGCTGGTGGTAGAGAGACGTCTCTTTCTTCACGCGACACCCAAAACGGTATACACGGCGGATAAAAGTAAAGTAAAGAAAGGTACGTCTTTGATAGAGCTTTGGGAGGATGTAAAAATCGAATATTCTCAAAATTTGGACTTAAGTGAATTGCTTGCGACAGTAAGGATATATCTCCACGGGTTGGTTAGGCCCCTACCCCTCTCTGCACTGAGTAATCATTTACACAGTTCTGCCACTTCTACCATTGCTAAATGAATTACAGAATTTAACTTCTGCCACCATTTAAGATGGTTTCTCCGCAAAATAGTCGGAGAAATGAGAAAGAGCTTTCTTCTTGTCTCTTCCTCCCCCCCCTCTCTTTCTTTCTCTCTACATTAAGCCATCTTCCTGTCTCTCCCCCCTGTCCCTCGTCTTTCTCCTTTCTTTTCTCCATTCTCTCTCCCTCACACACACACACACACACACACACACACACACACACACACACACACTCTCTCTCTCTCTCTCTCTATCTCTCTCTCCTCACTTCTTTCTCTCTCATCCCTTTACTCAACCCACCTGCAATAAATGGAATTTTTTAAAAACCACTTCACTGTCAGGCCCGAGAACTGAGCTGTGTAACAGGTCTAAGAGTAAAAGCGCTTTCCCGTGTTTCATAAATCCCAATTAATTAGAGACAAGGATTCATTGAAGGCTATCCTTTTATTTGAAGTCAGTGGTCTGGTCACGTCGTTGTCCCCTCTCAATTGTCAACGCCATCGTCCCCACAATGTCAACGACAATGAGCTGATCTCTTTGAGACTCTATGTTTACAAAACAATGCCTCTCCTTCACACTCTCAAAATCTTCTTTTTTTTCTCGCGGCCACTCGAACCTTATGGATTAGAAGTTCCCATCCTTCTTTGGCCTTTGTGATTATTCAACCGAGAAACGAAACAAATATGCGTAGCTGCCATTTATAGCGGAAGTGCCGGACGCGATATTTCGAAAGGGGTATTTCGTTTTGAGATTACATAATATCTAGAATCTAGACCTTCTAATTTTTTTCATCTCTCAAGATTTATTGCTCCCTTAAAGTAGAGTGTACATACAGTAGGCCTATGACTTTCAGTTGATGGCAATGCACCGATCACTCCTTTCATCGAAAGGGGGCCCAGCTAGTTAGTTATATTGCCCCCAGAGGGCATAGCAAAGGCAGTACCACAGCCTATGAAGTTATATCTGAGGCGTTGGTACTGCTACCTGTGTAGGTAAAGTGGGGGGAGGGGGGTAGTGTTAGAATGGAAGGATAGGGGGATATTAGGATATAGAGAGGTTGGGGTAACGGGAAGGGAGGGGTATAGGTAGGAACACTTATGGTGGGTAGGGTATGGGGGCAGGGGTGAGGGGTAGGTATTGTTGGGGGCTGGGGAGAGGGGTATAGAGGTGGGGGGTGGGGTAGGGTATTGGTTAGGGGTGAAGGGTATGATGAGGGGTGGGGAAAAGAGATATGGGGGAGGGGTAAGTTGGTATTTGGGAGAGGGGGGGGTATGTTTTGGAGCAGCAGTACATGTTTGTGTCTGTCCATAAGTCTTTTGTGTGTTTGTGTGATTTGTGTGTAAGTGTGTGTGTGTGTGTGTGTGTGTGTTTGTGTGTGTGTATATGTGTTTGTGTGTGTGCATGAGTGTGAGTGTATAATGTATAA